TGTGTGTGGGCCGGCGGGGGATGTGCGCACGCCAGCGTCGCCACGCACACACACACACAGGCACTGGCAGCACGACCACCCCTCACTCTAACTATCATCACCATCTCCCACACGCACGCTGTCGCATAACGCATACGCAACCAAACCAACAAACAATGCAAGCAACGACACGAGTAAGGAGGTGTGGGCGGAGGGAGGGGAAGTGAAACTCAATTTCAAACTAAGAAAAGCAAAGGGTAGAAGCAAAAAAAGAAACCCCCCTTCAAAACAAAGAACAAAAAAAAACGAGAGAAAGAAAGATAAGGAGTGGACGCACACATGCGTGTGTGCGTGTGAAGACAAAAAAAAAGGAGGCACATATATATATATATATATGTGTGTGTGTGTGTCTGCGTCTGTGAGAGTGGACAAGCGGAGGGAAGGGGGGAGGAGAGCAGAGGGATGTGGCGGGGGGAGGCACTGCCCGGTGGACGCAGCAAAGGTTTCACTCCCCTGATCGCTCCTCACCGCTATCAAGCCGTTTGGTCTTCTTCATATTCATTTGATCCACCGTTTTCCAGCCTACATCGACTCTGTTGCCCCGTTATGGTTTTATCTGTGCGTTGGTGATTTCTGTGGTTATTGATAATACCCATGTTTCTCTGTGTGTGTGTGTGTGCAAGAATGTGAGTGAGTGTCTCTTTTTTGTTGTTTGCTAAGCGTTTTTTTCCGCCAATTGTCCTCCTCCCTCACCCCTCTTCCACGCGTCGCTGCTGCTGCTGCCGCCACCATTATTATTACCGTCTTCCATGATGTGTGCAGCAGCAGCAGCGGCGGCGGTGGGCAGTGGGGCTGGGGAGCGAGGGGGGACGCAGAACCGCTGGCAGACGGAGGGAACGGGGAAAATGAGAGGGGGCCTGGGGAAGTAGAGCCCAACAGCAGGAGTGGGGAAGAGAGAAAACAACGGAAGGCGTGGTATAAGGTGAAAGAAAAATCGAGGCGTGACACTCACGTACGTAAAATGCGCATACACGTACAGGCAATGACATGAGAAGGAGCGCCGGCCACTGTGTGTGGGTGTTGCTGCCGCTGTGGGAAGCAAGAAGCGTGGAGGGGGAAGGGGGAATGCGGCTGCAGCAGGGAGATCGTTGCCAGTGCGGGGCGCTAGAATACGGGCAACCGGTGTGTGGCTCATTAACGGAGGGGGGAGGCGTCACTTGCACATACGGAGGGAGAGAGATGCACACTTTGTCATGAAAATGTGAAACGGCACTGTGTTCGTCCTGATGCCTGTTGACGTTCTGTTCGCATGCAGCGCCGCGGCGCACTTACCGCGGGTCGGTCTGGCGGGGGACGGTGGGAGAGGCGCACGCCTCCCCTCCCCCATTGGCACCCCTAGATTTGCTTATGTGACTCCGCTGCTTCTGCTGCTGCTGCTGACGACGGCGAAGATGACGATGATGGTGTTGTTGTGCATTTCGTCATGCTTTGCTCCCTTCCTGCGCTGCCCTCCGTTGTGGCCGCCTGCTCGCTCAGCGCCGCACAGCTCACGCACGCAGACATCTTATCGTGCCGCTTCACCATGCACCTTCTGCTGGCGTTGTTTTGATTTTTTTTCTTCTTGTGGTTGTTGAAGTCATATATCTATCAACATATAAATAGATATAGCTCACTCACGCTTTGTATGGTGTGCGTGGTGTGTGCGTTGTTAAGCAGTTCTCCCACCTGTCTGTTGTTTGTTTGTTTGTTTGTTTGTTTGTCTTTGTTTCGTAGAACTCCCTACCACGGCGACGGCGAGTAACGCGAAGATAAACCCGAAGCAAAGAGAAGAGAAGGAGAAAGGGGCGAGAAAGGGGCGAAGAGCTTCAGAGAAGAAACAGTGTGGAAAGGGGGGTGGGAGGGGGGAGAGAGAGAGAGAGAGAGCAAAAAAAAAACTCCATGAAAGCGAATGAGGCTGGTAGGAATTCCACTAGGAATAAATTTTTGTTTTTATTTCCTTTTCTGCTCTTTTGTTTTGTTTTGTTGTTTTTTCGTGTGGTTCGTGTGTTTTGTTTTCCTTTTCGCTTTAATGGC